AAAAAACAGTATGTGGATTGGCTGGGAGGCTATCAGACAAGGCTGTGCCCCAGGAGCCGGGACACTGTCCCCTTGTTCTGCTGCCCAGGCCTCACAATGAGCTGCTGTTGGGGCCTGGCTCTGCCTCCGACAGCAGCTCCACCCGTGCCCGTGCCCACGTGTCCTGGGGTGGGCAGGTCACAGTGTGCAGTCAGCCTGGCCATGGACCTTCCCGGCCAGGCTGTGCTAAGGGAGTCCGCCCCAGTCGGCCGCTCGCTAGTCGTGAGGGCACAGGCAAGCCCTCGGCTGTCTGAGCTGCGCCACCTCAGTCCCCAGGGGGTGCCTGTGAGAATGAAGCAGGTGGAGGGGGTGGCAGGCAGGCAATCTTGGCATGGGTGGGACTCCAGTGACTTGGTTATGAGCCGCCCGGCATCCCGCTGGGGGCATCAGGCTGGCTCTGAAGTGGAGGGAAAGGGGGAGTAGGCCGAAGAAGCAGCCGGGCCCAGGACCCCAGGAGGTGGAGTCCCTGGCCCAGTCACTGAGCAGTTGGGGATGTCCAGGTCACTCGCCAGGGTGTGTGGCAAGAGGCATTTCAGGTGGGGCTCAACCACCAGCTTGAGCCACCTGGGACTGCATGATCCTGCAGGTGAGGGGAGCGAGAGTGAGGCTGTGTGCTGATGAGAGGCGTGTCCCAGGGAAGTGCTGCCCCGGACCCTGGCCAGACCAGCTGTAGGCAGCGCTGGAGTCCAGGGCAGGCAACACTAGCCTGCAGCCTTGGCTGCCCCGTGTGGGACCTGGGAGTCGCAGGGCAGCCCGCTTCCTCCTGGGAGGTGTGCGGATTCCATAGGCTCCTGTGCCACGGAGCAGACTCAGTTTGCAGAGAGAAGGGCAGGGACTCCAGGACCTGTGGTCCCCGAGGGCTGCTGGATGCCAGAGAATTGGTGGTGTCTGTCTGGGCTGGGGGTGGGGAGCAGGTGCAGCTACTGAGGGAGGGGTGAGCTGCCTGGGGCAGGGGTGTTCCCGAGGTTCTGGGGTAAAAGTCACAGGGCTGCTCTGTCTCTTCTCCCAGGGCACAACTGTGTCACCAGGGCTCAGGCCGATCTCTCCCCTCTAGGCTTGGTGGCTCTCAGTTGCTAGGGTACTGGGACTTTGGTCTAAGAACTCTGAGGCTCTGAATCAGATCCTGGTCAGGAGACAGCTCTGTGACAGACCTTCCCACCCCAGCCTGATGAATGTCACTGTTTGTTCAGGGAGTCCAGGAAGGCTTCATGGAAGAAGAGACACTGATGCTGGTGTTGGAGATTGGGAAGGACTAGGGCAGACGGTACAGTGGATGTCCAGAGGCCTGCGCGAGAGGCTCACCGTCCCTGGGCTGGAGGAGCCCAGCAGGCCGTCAGGATCAGGCGCTGGTCCCAGGTGCTAAGGGCCAAGGTTAGAGCAGAATCCGTGGTCTTGAGGCCCTGCTTGCCCTACCGCGGCTCAGAGGTCTGGGAAAGGCTGCCGCCCGGGTCTCAACGTGGCGGCTTCTGCACCTGCTCGTGACCAGCACGTCCATCTGTGGCGAGAATCCCGCCGCCTCTTCAGGCTGCAGTGTGACAGGGACACTAGGCGTAAAAGGGCCTCAGTTTCTCCCCCGTACCGCAGGAGTGAACTCAGCTGTGTCCTGGGTTTGCAAAGATTCTGTAGGGTGGTGTGAGTGATGGTTCGGGCGACCCAGGGGCACTGGCTCTGCCTTGGTGAGGGGACAGGCGTGTGGCTGGAGAGCCGGACCTGATGGGGAGATGTGACCCAGCCCCGTGGGTGTAAGGAGTGGGAGCCCAGGCCTGGGTGTGTGGTCATGTGCGGGGGAGGACGCCCCCAGGTGAGGGCCTTTTATCCTCCTTGGTGCCGCCTCACTGAGCTGACCGAGGCTGTGGATCCCACGGGCCACAGGAGGTCAAGACTGAGCTGGGCGTGGGGGAGGCCGTGCACTGAGCCGCCTTCTCTCTCCTTTCTGAACCCTGGGCTGGGGAGGGCAGAGGTCCTACGTCCATGGCGTCAGCCCTAGATCCCATAGCACAGAAGGCAGCTCATGGGGCCCCACTGTGTCCCCGTCTCAGCAACGTCCCCGGGCAGATGGAGAGACTGACTCCTCCCTGGGCCCACGTAGCCGTGCTGTAAAATGAGTGGGCTCATGAAGACCCCCGGTAGGCTGGTGTCCCCCTGAAATGAAAGACAGCGTGCCAGTGACCACGTGGATGCCCACACTGCGCTGAGTGGAGGTGGCCACCTCCACCTGCTAGACCTCTCCTGAGAGTGGAGTGGGAGCAAGGCGAGGTGGAGCACCTGCTGTCACCCCCCTGGGCCCCAGCTTCTCAGGTAGAGGCCGTGCTGAGCTGGGGCAGCCTTGGTGTCTGTTCCCCTTCCTCCCTCCGACGGGCTCTGTCCCTGGTGAGGCAGTGGCTGGAGATGGGAAAGGAAGTGGCCCAACCACCCTGGCCTGAGCCGAAGCGGGGGGGGGGGGGTAGGGTGAATGCCTGCCTTGGCGTAGACCGGCCGGGGGTGCTATGGACACGGGACAGGGCTTCCTTGAGAGGTGGACTTTGGGCCATGCGGTGGTCCTGCAGGGTCCAGGAAGCGACCAAAGGTCCATTTTCTCTTCTGAGCTGGGTCACCATAGTCTCTGGACCCAGCTGGGGTGAGGACGCAGGATGCTGTGTGTCCGGGCCTGGTAGGCAGAGAGCTGGCAAGGAGACTCCCCAGTGATCAGGAGTTGTATGCACACCTCAGAGAGTAGAGGCTCCTGCCTCCCCCATCCAGGAGCTGCCCGGTTCTTCCTCCCAGTGAGCTTGACCTGCAGGGCTGGAAGCAGCCCGTGGAGAGGGCGTGGGAGCGCCAGGCTGCCCAGCTGCAGCCTGCTGGGCCAGGCCGAGCTAGGGCTCCTGAAGGGCCCTGAGCTTCCCACGGCCCTCTGTTCCACCAGCAGCCTTCCCACGGCACCCGGGCCAGCTGGGGCGTGTTTGTGGGACAGGATGGTGGGGAAGGAAGGGGAGGGATCTGCAGCCACAGGCCCCAGGCTCGGGCGGTTTGGGGGTTTGGCCTGGGCTTGTTGGGCTGCAGGAGCAAGGCCCCTTGGGCAGGTCCGCTTGTCTGCACCATGCCCACCCATCTTCCCCCCCAGGCCAAGTGTGCTAGGATGCCTGAGGCAGGAGGCCGCCTCAGCTCACCGGCTCCTCCCTTCCTATTCCTGGGTCCCTGCCCCTTCCACCCTGGCTCTCAGCGTCCCTACCTGGCAGGGTTTCCCAGGCTGGGCCGGAATGCAGCCTGATCGGAGTCCATGGGCTGTGATTTTGGTCTAGGACCTCAGGCCTAGGGGCAGTGGGTCCCACCCCATGCCAGGCAGGTGACAGCCTGGCTGGCGTCTGAGGTCAGGCATCTTTTCCAGTGAGGTACAGAGCCCCATCTGGGAGGAGGCTGCCCGGGCCCAGCCCAGGGGAAAGCAGACTGGCCTGTGGCATTGGTCAGTGCCGCGGTGGGAGGAGGCAGGGCTGTCTGAGTAGGGATTGGGGGTCTGCATACCTGGAACGGTGTGGCGTGCTCCTCTGGGCACTGGGACGTGGTGGGGGCAGGGAGATGTGGGGCAGCAGGAGCACCCAGGCTGGGCCATGCTGGGGAGCTCCATGGGGGCTCCCTGGGGGTGCTCCTAGCTGCCTCAGCCTGTCCCCCAGCTTCCCTCTGGTTCTGTCCATTCTCTCAGAGCTTTCAGAGGCCAGCTTCGTGCTGGGCCCAGAGAGCCAGTGGGAGGAGGGTGCCTGGGTCTCCTAGGGTGGACTGTGTGAGTGTCCAAGGGCTAAGGTTTAATTTCCAGCTCTGATCCTTCACCGCGCCTAACACAAAACCCCGGATCCCATGGTGGGGGAGGGGCATGGGGAAAGGGGCATTGCCATGGAGGTGTGGGGGTGGGGGGTGTCCTTCAGCCTGGGAGGCCTTCTGGGCAGGGCCCTTCCAGAGTCAGGGCCTCAGTCCCCTCCCCCCGGGCAGTCATGGAAATGGGTGTACAGGATGTGTGCCTTGCAAGGCTGGGTCTGGTGACCTTGCCAGGCCGCGAGTCTCTGGAGGTTGGGGCCTGAGTCTCGGGCAGACATGAAGGTGGGGTCTTCATGTCACATGGAGCCCTTGGCTCATGGGAGGCCAGGAGCCAAAGGCAGAGAGTATCTGGAGAAGGAGGTCTGCATGGGCCCAGTGTGGGGCAGGTTCCTTGCCAGCTGCAGGGGTGCGGGCCGTGGGTACCAGCAGCCAGTGCTCCGGCTGCAGGAGGGCTCCTCAGGCCCTGCTCATGCAGATGGCCCTGCAAGAGGACATCCACTCTCGGGCGTGAACTTTACCAACCATGCAGCAGGTGCAGTCAGAAGTGCCATGCGATGCGCTGAGAAAGGCGAGGTGTGAAGGGGAAGTGGCTTGCCCAGGGCCACAGAACAGTGGGCAGTGGACCAGTCCAGGCCCAGCCTCCCTTTGGGTACCAGGGGGCATCAGCTACCGCTGTTCCTTGTGCCTGTGTTGGGCTCCTGAGCCCCTGCACGAGGACCCCAGGGCGGCTCCATATCTCAGGTTCCGTGCAGAGTGTAGCCTTCCCGCCGCTCTGAGCTTGTCTGTCCTGTTCAGGAAGAGGTCCCCGGGGCTCCCCTGCCTTGCGTGGGGCAGGGCTCAGGGTGTGAGATGGAATCTGTTGACGGTGGTGCCCTGGACAGGTGCCAGGACACGGTGAATGCTTTGGTTTTGAACAGGGCCGGGGCAAAAGGGAGAGGAAGTGGGAAAGGGCCAGAGCCCTGTAGGCTTTCTGCATCCAGCCAGCTCTTTGGTGTGGCTTCCTCCCCAGCCCCAATCTGTCTTAAAACGGAAGGGAGAACAGACTCAGGGGAGAGCCCCTGCCTCTGGGGAGGGGAGAGGGGACAGGGACGGGGTGGGTAGGGCTGGGGAGTGGCGCGAGCTTGGCCCTGGCTGGGGCAGTCCTCACCTGACCCTCCCAATGCCCACCTCCCCAGGTCCCATCTGATGCCCAGGCTGAAGGAGTCCCGCTCCCACGAGTCCCTGCTCAGCCCCAGCAGTGCGGTGGAGGCGCTGGACCTCAGCATGGAGGAGGAGGTGCTCATCAAGCCGGTGCACAGCAGCATCCTGGGCCAGGACTACTGCTTCGAGGTGGGTGCCCCGCACGGGGTGGGTGCCCCACACGGGGTGGCTGCGAGGTGGGTGCCCCGCACAGGGTGGCTGCGAGGTGGGTGCCCCACACGGGGTGGCTGCGAGGTGGGTGCCCCGCACGGGGTGGGTGCCCCACACGGGGTGGCTGCGAGGTGGGTGCCCCGCACAGGGTGGCTGCGAGGTGGGTCCCCCGCACAGGGTGGCTGCGAGGTGGGTCCCCCCACAGGGTGGCTGCGAGGTGGGGTCTCCCGCACAGGATGGCTGCGAGGTGGGTCCCCCCACGGGGTGGCTGCGAGGTGGGTCCCCCCACAGGGTGGCTGCGAGGTGGGTCCCCCACAGGGTGGCTGCGAGGTGGGTCCCCCGCACAGGGTGGCTGCAAGGTGGGTCCCCCGCACAGGGTGGCTGCGAGGTGGGTCCCCCACAGGGTGGCTGCGAGGTGGGGTCTCCCGCACAGGATGGCTGCGAGGTGGGTCCCCCCACGGGGTGGCTGCGAGGTGGGGTCCCCCCACGGGGTGGCTGTGAGGTGGGTCCCCCACAGGGTGGCTGCGAGGTGGGGTCTCCCGCACAGGGTGGCTGCGAGGTGGGGTCTCCCGCACAGGGTGGCTGCGAGGTGGGGTCCCCCGCACAGGGTGGCTGCGAGGTGGGGTCTCCCCACAGGGTGGTTGCGAGGTGGGGTCTCCCCACAGGGTGGTTGTGAGGTGGGGTCTCCCCACAGGGTGGCTGCAATGCTGCCGCCCCCTCCCCCCCCACCCCCGCTCTGGGGGACAGTGGCTGGGGTTCCTGGTGCAGCGGGAGCTGGGGCTGGGGAGGCCGGGATGTGTGGAAATGGACCAGCAGCTGTTCTCCATGCTGGCCCGTGGAGCTGCTGGCTCCAGTGGGTGAGCGTGAATGAAGAAAGCCTGTGTGGAGCTGCTTAGCCCCAGAGCCTGTGTCTTAGACCCTGCTTGCCTCCGCTCGCAAATCAGTGCGGGAGAGTGGGGGCTCCTCCTGTTCTCTGACGCAGCCAGGGCAGGGTGTTACCCGGGGATTGCCGTGCGGTCTGTCCCGGGAGGTAGCGAACCAGGCCCAGCAGGGCAAGAAGCTGTCAGATGTCACCCAGCAAGGCCGAAGCCCAGCAGCGTTCCTGGGAGCCTCTGCTTGCTTCTCCAGTCCCTCGCGTCGTCTTCCTGTTTCTGGGACGACCCCCCCTGACAGTTTGGGGACCTCTGGTAGAAAGAGGAGCAGCCTCTGGGGACTAGCGTATCAGCCTCCTGGCACCCCTGGCCTGGTGGCATCCATCCCACACCCGTGCCCACTGGCGGACCTTTCTGGTTCAGGCTTCCTGGCCAAGCCAGGCTTGATCCGGGCTCTTACCTCCTTGCTGGGGCCGGCCTGAGACACGCCTGTCCGCCTGTTCACAGCAGGGGTGCTGTGGGTGTGCAGGTGCGGCGGAAGGAGTCTGGTTTCCCCAGGGGAGCCCTGGGCCTGGTGTCGGGGGCAGTGGGGACTTGCAGAAGCAGCCTGGGCCAGGCTCCCTCACCTGGGAGAGACGTCCAAGCTGGGGCTGGGAGATGAGTCAGGCAGGCAGGGAGGGCAGGGTGACCCCACGGCGCACCCGAACAGCCCAGTTGACGTCTCTGCAGGCCGGCTTTGCGTTAGGCTTCAGGTCCCAACGTCGTCACTGTTGCTTGGCCAGTGAGAACCCTCCGACAAGGTCAGCTGAGGTGCCTGTCATACCTCCCCGTGCGTGTGTCCTTAGTGAAGCTCCCCTTGGGCTGCACGTTGCCCTGTGACCCGGCAGGGGCCCTGTTCCTTCTCTGCCGCTGTCTCAGGGACAGGCAGGTTGGGGTCAGGAACTGCTTTCCTGTTTGGACCAAAGGACATCGAGGCAAGGTTGAGGAGCCTGGAGCAGGAGCCTGACGCTGCAGGTGGGGCCGCCGTCCTGCTGCTGGCTTGCTCCGGGTCCTGGGTCTCAGTGTACTGCCTACAGGACGTGACCTTGTGGGGTAACAAGGGCCTTGTCCTGCCTCCTACCTGAGGCCACAGTGGAGACCACAGTCCCCGGAGGTCTTCTGTCGCCACTCAGCCTTGCGTGGTCCCTCCCCCTGTAACGCCGTCCTGCCTGTCCCCACAGGTGACCACGTCATCGGGAAGCAAGTGCTTTTCCTGCCGGTCAGCAGCCGAGCGGGATAAGTGGATGGAGAACCTGCGGCGAGCAGTGCACCCCAACAAGGTAGTTCTGTGCCTCTCTTGCCAAAGCACGGGGGATGGAGGTCAGACAGACACGAGGCAGCAGGAGGGCGAGGGCTGGCATGGGAGCAGCCTGCGTGGGCAATGTTCTTGCGCCCTGAACGAGGAGATTGACTCGGCCAGGCTGGGCCAGGCTCTGGGCTTGTGTTCTTGAAGCTACACGTGGAGGAGGAGCTGGCCCTGCAGCCTTCTGCCTGGAGCCCTGTGCCCACTTGTCCCTAGCTGCTGGGCCATCTCATCCTGCCTGAGACATCTGCATCTCCTCAGGACAAGCACCCTGGTCTGGGTTGGTGCACCTGTCTGTATTCCCACAGAGGGGGACCCTGGGCTCTCGTGTCAGGTTGTGGGACCCCAGAGGCCACCCTTGCATCTATATCCGTTTCCCCAGCTGGCTTGAGGGCCTGGGCCAAGTCCTGGTCACTGTGACATCACTGAGGAAGGGACCTTAGCAATGGTCACTTCTTAAGTGACTTTACAGCCCAGCCAAGTAAGGAGGTAGTCGTGGCCTCGTAACCTGAAATGGGCCAGGCAGCGTGCTGGCCTCCGTACTCAGTCTCTCACTCCGTAGGGCGGCGTTTTTATTCTCATTTGGTAGAAATGCAAACTGAGGCTCTGGTTAAGTGACCTACCCCAGGTCAGCGCACACGGGAGGCAGACTAGACTAGAGACCCAGCCTGTGTCCGTCGCCTCCTGCCTTACCCCTCCCCCTCCCAGGGCCTGGCCCACCCCTCCCCCCACCTGATTTGAAGACTTCCCATGTCTGATGCCCGGGCCCCTGTGCACGCGCAGGACAACAGCCGGCGCGTGGAGCATGTGCTCAAGCTGTGGGTGATCGAGGCCAAGGACCTGCCAGCCAAGAAGAAGTACCTGTGCGAGCTGTGCCTGGACGACGTGCTGTACGCCCGGACGACGGGCAAGCTCAAGACGGACAACGTCTTCTGGGGAGAGCACTTCGAGTTCCACAACCTGCCGCCCCTGCGCACGGTCACCGTCCACCTGTACCGGGAGACTGACAAGAAGAAGAAGAAGGAACGCAACAGCTACCTGGGCCTGGTGAGCCTGCCCGCTGCCTCGGTGGCCGGGCGGCAGTTCGTGGAGAAGTGGTACCCGGTGGTGACGCCCAACCCCAAAGGCGGCAAGGGCCCCGGGCCCATGATCCGCATCAAGGCCCGCTACCAGACCATCACCATCCTGCCCATGGAGATGTACAAGGAGTTTGCCGAGCACATCACCAACCACTACCTGGGGCTGTGCGCCGCCCTGGAACCCATCCTCAGCGCCAAGACCAAGGAGGAGATGGCGTCCGCCCTGGTGCACATCCTGCAGAGCACGGGCAAGGTGAAGGTGCGTGCAGGCCCTGGCTCCCAGGGAGGGCTTCTGCAAGCGCGGGGTCACCTGCCCGTCTCCGGGTCCGTCCAGCCAGCGTTCATGGAGGCCTTGGTGGCACCAGTCACGGCTGGGTGGGCTCCCTGATCCTGAGAGTTCTACCACTGGGCAGGCTTTGTCTCCCAGCACGAATGGGTCTGACTCCTGAGGCATGAGTAGAGCCTTCAGCTGCCTCCCTCTCGGCCCAAGGGGGTGCAGGGGGTGCAACTGGGCTCCCCCAGCACACCCTGGCCCCACAACCCACTGGCCTCGTGACCAGCTCCACCCCCCCACCACCACCCCAACACACACCCAGTCTGGCAGACATTCCCAGCAGGTGGGGCACCAGCTGACAGTCTCCCCACACTCACCTGGGTAGGCAGCCAGCCCGAGGCCCACAGGAACATGAAGACAGTCTGACAGCCACTCTGGCAGGCCCTCCTGTCTCTCCACCCCCGCCCACCTCCTCTCCCTTCCACTCCTGGCCTGGGGAGCCCTAGATGTGCCGTCTCCCACCTGCCCAGCTCAGTGGAACGTGGCTCCTGAAGGCCTCCCAGGTGGACCTCCCTTCTTCACAGTGCCTTGGCCTTGGGAGGAAGTGGGCGGAGGAAGGGGGCTGGACCTGAGGCCTCTGTGAGGTGGATAAGGCCTCCTGAGTTGAGCTAAGGAGCTGGGCCTCAGCTCTCTGGTCGGTGGTGTGGTTTAAGAGTGACATACGTGTTGGGGAAGGGCACTGCCCTGGGTCCGGGTCCTGAGCTCTTAGCCAAGGGCTGGTCAGGCACAGGTTGGGAACTTGGCTTGAGGACCCCAGGGTAGCCCAGGGGCAAGTGAGTCCTTTGAGGTCCTGATGGAGAAGCCATGGCTGGAAGTTCCTTGGCCTTCTACAGGCCCTCAGTGGCACCCCCACCTGCCAGATGTGGTGTGAGACAGGTGCAGGACTGGGAGAGGAACTTGCCCCCATGGCTCCATGGGAGCGGGCAAGGGTACTGCTTTCTGGTGGACCATCTCCCCGCCCCCCAGCCTTTGCACTTGACCGCCAAGGCTGTAGTTAGGCCAGCTCTGCATACCCTGTCCTTCACTGGGCAGTGGTGCATGGGTTCTAGGAAATGCAGTGGATTGAGGAAGCCTGTGGCTCCCAGAGGAGGAGCAAGAGGCAGCAGAGGCGCTGATTTGTTCTGCTGCCGGGTCTGATCTTCCAGTGCCTGGTCTTCAGGGCCAGGAAGGCTCAGGAAGCAGGTTCAGATCTGAAGTTGTCTGAGGCAAGAGGCTGCCTGAGCTCTCTTGGCCTCTGAAGGGGAGGGGAGCAGAAGGTGGACACCCATGCCACTGGGTGCTGTGCACCTGAGTCCCTGTCTCTGGAACACTTGGGAACCCTTGCAAGAGGCTGGAAGCCCCACGAGGCAGCTGGAGCGGCGGTGAGCGGACAGCCTGTCCTGTCCCAGGCTCCGCTTGCCTAGGCTGCGGCTTTTCAGAGTCAGGTCCTAGACTCCCCCTGCAACCCCCCCCCCCCCCCCCCGCGAATCAGGAGGGACAGGGCCTGGGAAACAAGAATTGGGCCCAACCTTGCCCCAGGGAGCCGTGTGGCCCTGTTCTGTGCCTTGCTCTCCCCTCTCAACTTTCACCCTCCCCCTTTCAACTCTTACTGGTCCGTGCTGGCCCCTGCCCTCCTTTAGGGGGCCCGCCTCTCAGGAAGGTTTCCCTTGCACCGGGGAGGCCTCAGGCTGAGCAGGGGCCATGCTGGAGCAGCAGGACGAAATGTGCTCCGTCACAGGAGGGTCTGGAGCGCAGCTGTGTCCAGTGTGGGCGCCCCCAGGGGCACGGGCGGCTCCTGGCAGCCCCGCTCATCCTCTTTGGCACTGATGTCGGGGAGGGGCACGGTCTGGTCACCCAGCCAGGCCTGGTCAGGGCTCAGCAGAGGTGGAGTCCAGTTGGTCTGGCCGTGATGGTGGGAGGGTCTTGACTGTGGGGGGCGTGCTGTTATCCAGGCCTGCCTCTCCAGGCCTGAGCCCAGCTCGGATGTCACCAGCTGAAGGCCCCTCCCCAGGCTTCCCTCCTGGCTCGCTCTCCCTAGCAGCCCCCAGGGTGGGCATTCTACCTCTCTGGACGCTGGCAGCCTTGAAAAGTAGGGGCGCCTCCTTGGCCGGGTTTGGAATTCCCGGGTCCTGCCTGCCAGGCTGGCTCAGGCGCTGCGCTGCTTACTTCCTGCCTCCCAGGACTTTCTGACAGACCTGATGATGTCAGAGGTGGACCGCTGTGGGGACAACGAGCACCTCATCTTCCGGGAGAACACACTGGCCACCAAGGCCATCGAGGAGTACCTCAAGCTCGTGGGCCAGAAGTACCTGCAGGATGCCCTAGGTACAGGGGACATGGGCCGGCAACTGGGCAGAGGGCGGGGCTATGCCCATCCGGCCCTCACCGCCCCCTCCCTGCCCGCTCGGCCCCAGGTGAGTTCATCAAAGCGCTGTACGAGTCGGATGAGAACTGTGAAGTGGACCCGAGCAAGTGTTCTGCCGCCGACCTGCCTGAGCACCAGGGCAACCTCAAGATGTGCTGTGAGCTGGCCTTCTGCAAGATCATCAACTCCTACTGGTGAGTGCTGGCCCCTGCACCCCAGTGTTGGGGAACCCACAGAGAGCGGGCTGTGGGGGTCCGACTTCATCAACGGCCGAGCCCCCTGAGTAACTGGATTGTCAGGCCCCTGTCCCAGTCCTCTCGGGACTGTCGGGCACAGAGCAGTGTTCCAGAATGCCCGCAGCACCTGGTTGTTGCAGGGTTACAGTAGGAAGTAGCTGGCCAGGGCTGTCAGTCTGCGTGTTGGTTAGCAGGGACCCTGCACGTGCGGATGCCGTTGTAGATGCTTGAGCCGCCACACTGCACGACATGGACAAGGCCACCCCTTGGGGCAGGTGGGTGGCTGGGACTCCTCACCTGTCCCTGGGAGTTACAGCACTCACATCACAGTCCTGTAACAGGGCCCAGCAGGGACACATGTGACTGGGCCTCTTCCTGCGAGTGGGGAACAGAGAGAGGAAAGGACTGGGTTTGTGACAGCACAGGCCTCCCGACCTACACACTTCTACACTTCTTGCCCCAAGCCCTTAGCCCTGCTCAGGTCTGTGGCCCTCTTTCATGTCCCCAGGTGGGGTTGCTCACCCCTCCTGGAGCCCTCTGTCCCTGCCTGATCCCATCAGAGTGGGATCACATCTGTGTCTGAATCTGCCCCTGCAGGGTACCAGCTCTGGGCCAGGCACGTGGAGGCAGTGGGGACAGCCAGGGCCGGGAGGGTAACAGCTTACTGGGACCAGTGTGCATCTTGGGCTGGTCCAGAAAGGTGCGGCTTTCCGTGGCCCTGGGCCCAAGACAGGGGCAGCCAGGGAGCCTTGAGCTCTCCGGGAACGCACTTCCAACCCCCAGTCGTGCTGTGCCTTCACCCTCTGCCCTCCTGTTCCAGAGATGGGCTGGGTGTGGGAAACAGGAAGACCTACCTGTGGACAAGGATTTTCCATTTCCTCTCTTTGGCATTGGTCAGAGGCCCCTCTGTTCTGGACAGGGCCATCCACAGCAGTCACCTCGCAGGGCCTGCCCCCTGCCGAGTGCTGTGCCAGGCACCACAGAGCCAGGGCTGCAGGTCACTCACCCTCGGTGGCTCGCGTGGATTCAGCCGGCACTCGCTGCCAGAGAGCCGGCCGAGCTGGTGCTGGGCTTGCTGGGGTCGCTGCAGGTTAGTCAGCCCTCTCAGGGCCCTCTCCGTGAGCTTGGCAGGACACGCCGTGCTCCCAGTTTAAAGGAAGAGGAAACTGAAGCCTGCAGCAGACGGGGTCTCAGTCAGATCACCCTGAACTTGGGACAGAGCTAGTCATAGACTGGGGCTCTGGGGGCACTAGGGTCTGGCCTGCTACAGATAGGAGGTGAAAAGCTGGAAGACCGCTTAAAGGTTGGCCAGGTGGGACTGAAGGTGGCCGGCTGGATGTCTGGTGGAGCCGGCTCCGCCCACTGTGTCACCCAGAGGGAGTCACTGCCTGCGTTTCCTTCTCCATCCAGGGTTGGAGGGCTGTATTCTCACCCCGTGGCGCCACTCTTCCTTGTCGTTATGAGCTCTGCAGAAAACCCTAGATTCCTGTGGTGTTATTCAGGCGAAGGGAGTGAGTGTCGGAAATCAGTGAGGGGAGCCCGCGGGACGGCGCCTGCTGCCTTTGCCTCACTGCCCTCTAGATGTTTGTGTTAAAAGAAGAGTCCAACCCGGGCCAGGTGGGAAGGGCCAGGACGGTAGCAGGCGAGGCAGTTCAGCACTGGCCTGTGGCTGGCTCTGGTGAAGACGGACTCAGCTCCCCGTGCCTCCCCTGCCATCCCACTGGGCCCCTTCCCTGAGAGCCCACCGCAGTGACAGGGGCATGGGTCTCCTTGCCCCTCCTGCTTCCCAAGCCCTTTCTTGTGCCCACCCTGTACTGCCTCAGCTACCTCAGCAGCCCTCCAGATGGGTGGGTGGGATGGGGTGGGGTGGGTGGATGGATGGGCTGGCTGGCAGAGGAACAGGCACCTGTGCCCAGGTGGCAGGGCCGACCTTGACCTCACAGAGCTGTCGGGGTGAAGCCGAGGTTGTGCGGAGCTCCTCTGACCCAGACCCAGGCCCCTGCTCTGTCCGCTCCTGTCCCGGGCCCCTGCCTGACCGCCGGACCCACCCTATCTGTCCTGACACAGCGTCTTCCCACGGGAACTGAAAGAGGTGTTTGCCTCGTGGCGGCAGGAGTGCAGCAGTCGCGGCCGGCCGGACATCAGCGAGCGGCTCATCAGTGCCTCCCTCTTCCTGCGCTTCCTCTGCCCTGCCATCATGTCCCCCTCGCTCTTCAACCTGCTGCAGGAGTACCCCGATGACCGCACCGCCCGCACCCTCACCCTTATCGCCAAGGTCACCCAGAACCTGGCCAACTTCGCCAAGTGAGTGCCTCAGCCACTGCAGGCCGAGCAGGGCTGGAGTCCGCAGGGCCCTGCGGTGCTTCCGCCTTTTCTCTTCCTCTCCTGCTGTTGTCGAAACAAAGCCTTCTGCACACCCCCCCCCCCCCCCCCCCGGTTAGAAATGCCTGCCATATTGCCACATCTCCTTAAATTTCAAAGGTGAGAAGACCAGCTGTTTTTTCCTTCTGCTTTTTGGAATTAACCCCACGTTCCTCCCGTTCGCCTGAACATTCATAAGCCCCATTTTGCAATGAATGCCCGATAGTCATGACTGCATTCCCTTTACATGGTCCCCGTGATTAGGCATGAGGGCTGCTTCACACCGTCCTGGTTTAATGCTGTCAGGATGTCTTTGATCTGGCATCTTCAGCTGCGTCCTTAGAGAAGCAGGTAGAAGTGGAAGGAACGAGTCGTCTTATTGTCATCCATTCAGAAAGCATGGTTGGGGCTGTCTGTGCTGGGCTTGGTGTGTCAGCCGTGGGCCCAGCCTCGCGAGCTCAGCATATTAGCTGGGGAGACCTGTTGAGTAAGCCCAGGGCAGTACCAGAGATCAAATCCTCATCTCTCAGGAGGGCCCTAAGTTCTGGGGAGGGGAGATGGGTGGCCTCTTGGGTGATGAGGTCCCCAGCTTTGTGTCAAGGGCATTCATCTGGCTCAAGGAAGGGCAGTGGGAGCAGGAGCTGGCCACGGTCTGTTAGATTCCTGGTGCTCCGAGTACCAGGCAGTGTGGGAGGTGAGACCAGGAGGACAGTCGGGACCTGAAGGCCAGAGGGGGCAGTGGGAGCCACCAGGGGTTTGCTGTTGGAGAGGCAGAGAGAGGGAGAGAGAGATCTTCCAGCCTGTGGTTCAAACCCAAATGGCCGCAACAGCTGGGCCTGGGTCAGGCTGAAGCCAGGAGTCGGGAACTTCACCTGGCTCTCCCACGTAGGGGACAGAGGCCCAAGTGCTTGGGCCATCTTCTGCTGCCTTCCCAAGCGCAATAGCAGGGAGTTGGGTAGGAAGTGGAGTAGCCGGGACTCAAACTGGCGCTCTGATATGGGATGCTGACATCACAAGTGGCTTAACCACTTGCACTACAACACTGGCCCCATCAAGTTAAATAGGGGCCAGCGTTGTGGCTCCAGTGGGTAAAGCTGCTGCATGCTAAGCCAGCATCCCACGTGGGCGTTGGTTCGGGTCCTGGATACTCCACTTCCGATCCAGCTCACTACTGATGTGCCTGGGAAAGAGCGGAAACGGCTCAAGTGCTTGGGCCCCTGCACCCACGTAGGAGACTGGGAGGAAGCTCCTGGCGTCAGCCTGGCTCAGCCCTGGTCATTGCAGCCGTTTGGGGAGTGAACCAGCGGATGGAAGACCTCTCTCTATTTGTCTCTCCCTCTGTCTCTTTAACTCTGCCTTTCAAATAAATCTTAAAAAAAAAAAAAAAAGTTTTAAATAAGGGACAGAATGACCCCATCTGTTCTGGATCCTGGAGAGATCACCTTGCTGGCATACCCGGGAGGAGGACACGGCATACCCGGCAGAAGTGGCAGTGAGGGGCTGGCGCAGGGGCAGCGGTTGGAAGAGAAAGCCAGCAGGCTTTGCTGTTTATGGGTGAAGAGAGGAAGCGGTCGACAACCACCAGAGTTTCGGCTCGAGAACCTGACTGGATGGTGGGGTGTCTGCCAGGATCGGGATCCCAGGAGCACTGCGTGGGTTTGGGAGACAGTGATGACTCTGAGGCTTGGTCAGCCTGAGCCAGGACTCCCAGGGAAGACGCCTGTGGACACACACATCTGAAAGCTCAGCAGAGACCTGGTCAAGCGGGGATCTGGGATCCTCTGCCCACCAGGGTGTTGAAGTTGGAGAAACGAGGAAGGAGACTGATGGGCAGTGTGTGGGGAGACGTGGGACCTCCCAGGCCCTGAGATGAAAGACCTGGGGAAAGGTCCCTGGACTTGACCATGAGGAAGGGGGGCCCTGGGGTGGGAGCTGAGCGGGAGTGCATCTCCGAGCAGGGGCCTCACCCCTCAGGGCCCTCGTTCCAGGTTCGGCAGCAAGGAGGAGTACATGTCCTTCATGAACCAGTTCCTGGAGCACGAGTGGACCAACATGCAGCGCTTCCTCTTGGAGATCTCCAACCCCGAGACCATCTCCAACACCGCCGGCTTCGAGGGCTACATCGACCTGGGCCGCGAGCTCTCCAGTCTGCACTCGCTGCTCTGGGAGGCCGTCAGCCAGCTGGAGCAGGTGCCTGTCGGCGCAGGGCAGAGGCAGGGCTCCCCCCAGAGTGACCAGGAGGGCACAGGTGTGCCTGTGTGGCATGATCAGGCCCAGCTGGGACGCCCTGGGCTCTGTCGGCTCCCATGTTTGTTTACCTTGCCTTCCAGGGCTGCCCGACTGTGGGGGCTGGGCCTGGGCCTACTGCACACAGGCTTGACTGGGGGCGCTCCACTCATGAAGGTGCGCTCCCTGCCTGCATGCTTGTGAGAGGCGTGATCAGACTTGCCCTGGACGTTGAAGCCGCTCGTATGACAGAGAGCCACTGTAAAGACCCCGTACCTCACAGGTCAGACAGGCCGTTGCAGACCCGGATAGAACTGTCCTCAGCCATCACTGGACAGGGTCATTCCCTAGATTTGTCTGACAGCACTGCAGCCACCTGAAGTGGCTTCCACCGATCCCTGGCGATCCCGGCTCTTACAGTGAGCGAGTTCTGGGCGTTTAGGACTGTGCCTGCCAGGAACCACTTGCCGGGGCCCTGTTGCTTCCCAGAGCCCCAGGGCACTCATCCTTACAAAGGGAATTCCTGCTGGAGGGGAGCAGGGAGGCCTCCCGGCCCTGGCCCCTGGGGATGGCCACGCAGAGTGCTGTGGTGTGCAGCCTCTGGACTCAGTGTGTGTGTGCGTGCAGAGTTGCTGTCCTCTTTTATTCTAAGTGAGAACTTCCCATGTGCACTGTTATGGGTGACCCCCTTGTGGCCATGTGCCCACGCACACCACACCGTGGGCACTGAACAGCCACTGCCTGCCGTGGTTTATCTCACCGTGGATACTGAGGTTCATCCCGGCTTTCCACCGACAACACATGCTGTTCAATCCATGGCAGGCATTTTTGCTCATTTAGGCCCCCTTGCCTTTGGCTGAGAGACACAGCAGTGGGAATGCAAAGGAGCCCCCGCGAGCCCCCGACTGCAGGCAGTAGCACTCACTGGCGCTGCCGCCACTCCCGGGATCTGTGCGGGCAGGTGGGGAGCGCGAGGGCGACGAGCACTGCTGCACGTGGGCAGCCAGCATCGGCAGGGCTCTGAGATCCGGCTGCTAGGCTGAGCTGTCGCACAGAGGCCCCCGTGGAAGCCTGCGCGTGCGCAGGGGCAGCAGCGCACCCGTCCTGAGTCCCATGCCTGGAATTCCCAGCAGCTTGTCTAAGTGGTGACAGCGGGGTTCACATGGGCCCAGGCACTGCCCCTGTCCAACTGGCACCCTCTGGTGCCTGCCCTATGCCTGGACCATCTCCACTGGGGCTCAGGTGTCGAAGAGAACCAGGCCCAGCCCACCTTGTTAGGTAGGTGGTAGGGGACGAGGCTGTCATAGAAGCCTCCTGGAAGGAGAAGTGTCAGCATGGGTGGAACTGGGATTCCACATGGACTTTTCCTTTCTGCGAGGGCACTAGGGTAGGGGGGCTTGGGCTAGGTCAGCATCTCTCCCTGTGGGCCTTGCCTCCTGGACTCGCTGCCTCCGAGGGCCGGGGCCGGGGATCTGCGTTTGACAGGCTCCTCGGTGGTTTGCAAATGAGTCGGCCACAGCAGCTCACACCTCCCTCTTGCTGTGTCTCTGCAGGGCATTGTGGCCAAACTGGGCCCCCTACCTCGCATCCTGAGGGACGTCCACACAGCACTGAGCACCCCAGGCAGTGGGCAGCTCGTGGGGACCAACGACCTGGCTTCCACGCCAGGCTCTGGCGGCAGCAGCATCTCAGCTGGGCTGCAGAAGATGGTGATGGAGAGCGATCTCTCTGGGTAAGAGCCGCAGGGTGTGTCGGGAGCACTGGGCCGTGCCTGCAGGCCCAGCACAGCCCACGGTGGCCTCAGCTAGGGAAGAGGGAGCCGAGTCACAGTGAGAGGCAGCCGGGTGTGGCTGAGTGCCAAGACCTGACCTCGGCCTGCCGGGGCACATCTCAGGCCTGTGGCTGGTCTTGGGTTCTCCCTGCTGCGTCCACTGCCCTTGTCCAGCCCTTTTTGGCCCACGAATGCTGTGAGCCTGAGTGGCTGAGGCTGTCCTGTCTCAGCCTCAGTGTCCTCCTGCCAAAGCTGAGCCGACTTTGGCTCACCATTTTATACCCATTTCCAGCCCCCCGGGGTCCTTGCTGCCTCCTCCCCGCCTGTGCAGAGCCCTTTCACCGCCATATTCTTTCCTGCAAAGCCCACCCGGCCCCCACCTCCGTGGTGCTTCCTTCAAGGAGCTGGCCTCCCTGGAGGTGCCGAGGAGGCGGCCGGGGGTGTGGTGGGGCCTGTTGCGCAGGTTCAGACCTGCCCACCTGAGTCATGCCCTTGACAGAGCTGCCTCTGATGCCTTGTTTTTGCCAGGAATGCCAGCCCCCGCCTGCCAGTCAAACAAGGGAGTGGCAGCAGGAGGCTGGGCAAGGGGAAGCTTTGCCAGGCCCCATGCGGCTTTCGGTCTGAGTAGGAACCAGAGGGAAGAGGCAGAGGGAGCACCAGTGACTGTGCAGTGGGAGTTCTCTGTGCCTGGCAGCACCGGGCTGAGGGGCTCTCCAGAACACGCCAGGCCCAGCACCCGTGGCCCCAGGCTGGAGCTGAGCCTGCCAGGCGGCCCAGCCTGGAGCAGGGGCTGTGTGCAGGAGCAGCCGTCCTGGCCACTGGTCCCCGGGTCTCTGCCCCTTGTGTCCCCCGCCCGAGGCCGGGCTGGGGCTGCCAGGCCCTGGCAGGTGGGGGGGGCTGCGGTCTGTACTGGCCGTGGCTGCACTCACGGTTCTTCTTTTCCCCTCTTTCCCTGTGTGTGCTTGTCTCCCTGCAGTCTGATAGATTTCACCCGGTTACCGTCTCCAACCCCCGAAAACAAGGACTTGTTTTTTGTCACAAGGTCCTCCGGGGTCCAGCCCTCACCTGCCCGCAGCTCGAGCTACTCGGAAGCCAACGAGCCGGATCTCCAGATGGCCAATGGCGGCAAGAGCCTGTCCATGGTGGACCTCCAGGATGCCCGCACGCTGGACGGGGAGGCGGGCTCTCCGGCGGGCCCTGACGTCCTTCCTGCCGACGGGCAGGCGCCCGCGACTCAGCTGGTGGCTGGGTGGCCGGCCCGAGCGGCCCCCGTGAGCCTGGCCGGGCTGGCCACGGTGCGGCGGGCAGGCCAGACACCGACCACACCAGGCACCTCCGAGGGCGCGCCCGGCCGGCCCCAGCTGTTGGCACCACTCTCCTTCCAGAACCCCGTGTACCAGATGGCGGCCGGCCTGCCGCTGTCACCCCGTGGCCTTGGCGACTCGGGCTCTGAGGGCCACAGCTCCCTGAGTTCCCACAGCAACAGCGAGGAGCTGGCGGCCGCAGCCAAGCTGGGGAGCTTCAGTGCCGCCGCGGAGGAGCTGGCGCGGCGGCCCGGCGAGCTGGCGCGGCGGCAGATGTCGCTGACTGAGAAGGGCGGGCAGCCCACGGTGCCGCGGCAGAACAGCGCCGGCCCCCAGCGCAGGATCGACCAGCCGCCGCCCCCGCCCCCGCCGCCCCCGCCTGCCCCCCGGGGCCGGACGCCCCCCACGCTGCTGAGCACCCTGCAGTACCCGCGACCCTCCAGCGGGAGCCTGGCGTCGGCCTCGCCGGACTGGCCCGGCTCGGGCGCCCGGCTGCGGCAGCAGTCCTCCTCCTCCAAGGGGGACAGTCCGGAGCTGAAGCCGCGGGCGGCGCACAAGCAGGTCAGTGCTGGGGCCGAGGGCGGGGCAGGGCTCTCGGGCCCCAGGGGCCGTCACACCCCACGCCGTGCTGCTCCTCGCCGTCATCCCACCTCCACCCGCGGCTGCCATCCCATGCTGTGTGACGCCGCCTCCCACCCACCATGGGCCTGCCACGTGCACCGCCCCTCCCCTGTACCATGGGCTCTTGCTGAGTCCCAGGAACCAGTGGCACCATGGCCTTAGGGAATGCCGGGCCCCTCTGCCCACTCCCCTGGGGACAGGCTGGCAAGGGAGCATCCGTCGCAGCTCCCAAGCCTTTGACAGCCTGAGCCCAGGGTAGGGGGTGACCTGGCCTCACCCTGGTTCCCTTAGTGCCCTTCCCAAAACACTTACACAGGCCGAGCGGGCCTCTCAGCACAGCTGCGGGAGTATGGAGAATCCCTGTCGGGGGGCCTGCGGGCAGGAGGCGGGCTTTCAGCCCAGCCTGCCCCTGGCGGGGGCTGCACGGGCACAGTGCCCAGGAGGCCTCCGGGGCCAGGGCTGCCTCTGGCTGCCCGGAGGTGGCTGTCCCTGGGAAGGTGCCGGTCAGCTGCAGGCCCCTCTTCCACCGGGCCTCTGAGCCCCTGTCCCCAGGGCTCACTCTGGGCCACTCCCTGTCTCCGTTTTGCACCTCCCTGCAGCCCCTCATGGCTGTGTTTCGTTGTAGGGCCCTTCACCCGTGAGCCCCAATGCCCTGGACCGCACGGCCGCTTGGCTCTTGACCATGAACGCGCAGTTGTTAGAAGACGAGGGCCTGGGCCCAGACCCCCCCCACAGGGATAGGCTAAGGAGTAAGGAAGAGCTCAGCCAAGCAGAAAAGGTAAAGCTGGCCCCGGGCAGGGTGGGCCGGGCGGGGCTGCAGCTCGTCTCCAGTGCCCAGTCCCCTGTCTCCCCTGTGCCCCGTGAGGACGAGGCCAGCAGCGAGTGGACTTTGGAGGGAAGCCTCAGTGCTGAGGCCCCTGTGCAGGCTGCATAGCGGAGTCCCTGGGGGTTGTGCTGGATCCCAGCTTCAGGACCTGGTGACCAGGCTGACGCAGCCAAGCTTCCGAGGGTGCCTGCCCAAGGCTCTTCTCTGCTCCCCTCTCCAGCAGGGCCTGGGAAAGAGAGTTCCCAGGGCGAGGGGTGGGCTCACATTGCCATTGGGATCCCATCTTCTTCCTCCCCGAGGAAGGAACCCGGTTCTGAAAGCCCCCACTGCCACCCTTGCCACACACATCTGGTGCCCGGTGGGGCCGCAGGCACCCGGGCCTCCCAGCTGTGCTGGCAGCTGCCCTACATCCAGGGCTTGTTCTTGTCTCCACCTGGAGGCCGAAGCCCAGGACCTGGTGCAGAGATCCAGCAAGGCAGCACTCCCCCCCACCTGGGTGCCCTTGCCCTCTCTGGGCCTCAGAGGGCCCATGGCAGCCTCCCCAGCAGGCACGGGTAGGGGTCAGGGTGGCCAGCTCCCCTCCCCCGCCTCGGGCGAGGCCCATCTCCATGCCGCATTCCGCCTCCCCCCACCACCCTCGGCCTGCTGCATCACCTGCTTGCACCATGGTACCGCGGACAGGGCCGGGGCACAGCGCTCAGGGCTCCCAGAGCAGAGTCTGCTGAGGAAGGAGGAGGCCTGGCCCCACCCAGGCCCCGTTCCTCCCTCGCCCCCGCGTCCTCACGGCGTCTGGCCCCTCGGTGCAGTGCACGCGACTCCTGGGCGCTGTTCCCTCACTGTTTCACCTGCCCCTCTCTCGTGAGGCTGAGGCCTGAGTCAGACACACAGAGCCCCAAGCACCTTGCCTTTGACTCTCTCTGCCTCTTCCTGTGTCCCTGTGCCACTGCCACCACCCTGGCCTTAGAGCCAAATAGAGGCTGGGAGCCTAGGATCCTACTCCTCTGGTCGGTCACTGCCGTGGGACCGGGTCACCTCATCTGGGCCTCAGTTTCCCCTCCCACAGAGCCCTCTGCCCTCAGGACACTGTCCAGGGGGTTTCTGCCCTTTGTTACCACGTTCAAGGCCCCAGTTAAACCCTGACTCTCAAGGGTGTGTTCGAGTCTTCATTGCCCTCCCAGCCGCACAGGTCAGGCTGGGAGCTTGGAGAGACCAAGGCCTGACTCCCCCGCCGGCTGGGCTCCGTGAAGGGGGTGGGCTGCCTCCCACTCCCCCTCGGGCTGACGAGGCTGTGCTGTGGCACGTGCCCTCCCGGCAGGACCTCGCGGTGCTGCAGGACAAGCTGCGCATCTCCACCAAGAAGCTGGAGGAGTACGAGACCCTGTTCAAGTGCCAGGAGGAGACGACGCAGAAGCTGGTGCTGGAGTACCAGGCGCGGCTGGAGGAGGGCGAGGAGCGGCTGCGCAGGCAGCAGGAGGACAAGGACATCCAGATGAAGGGCATCATCAGCAGGTGAGGTGGCCCTGCTGCCAGGGCCCCACACGCGGCCTTGGGGGGGCAGAGCAGGGTGGGCAGGGACGGTCCCGCAGGGAGGCCTCGTGTACTCCGGACTGGAGGAGGGAGGGGGCCCGGCGTGCGGGGAGGATGCAAACATGGGGAAAGCTGGGCCCTCCCAGGCCAGCGCCCAGGGGACCTGCAGGTGTCATGTTGTCTTGGGGGTGTTCAGGGGCTGAGTTGGGGGTGCCAGGGAAGACACCGAAGACCTGATTCGGGGCAGGAGCAGGGGGAATGTCAGTCATGTTCCCTAGGTGAAGGGGGCGGGGGTGGAAGCAGATCAGCCCTGGATTTGTGCCGAGAGTCGATGCGGAGGTGGCAGGGTGGCAGCCACCGAGGGTGGGAGCCATGGCAGGGGGCTGTCTGGATGGGGCAGCAGAGGGGTATGTGGGGCCAACTGCCTGGGTTATACCGGGAGGGTTTCTAGGGTGGGGGCGGTTGGTTCTGTGTCGACTAGGTCCTGTCTCTTCTCTCTCTCCCTTCCCTAGGGTGGGTGTAGATCAGCATCTGTAGATAGATGTGGCATCCAGGCCAGCCCACCAGGTTCTGGCCCTGGCCCTGGCCCTGGCGTAGGCTTCCCTGTGCTTTTTCAGCCAGGCACGGGAGGAGAGACTTCGGCTGTACAGCTGGTCTGTCTGCTCAGCCTAAGACCTTGACCTCTGGACAGATTAAGCAGGTGTGCAGGGGCCAGGAAGGTTCCCCACCTGGCTTCCTGTTTCGTCTGATTTCTCCTGTGTCGACCACCTGTTTCTCTGCTCCTGTTTGCCTCATTTACTTGTGGTTTTGTGTGTGGTACAATGGTTAACAGGAGCAGAATCGTGGTGATGCAAAACCTACTGTTCACTTGACCTTCCGCTGTGCCTTGGCCTGTCTCGCGTGTGTGGTTCCGAGAACAGAGACGCTCTTCAACCCAACCACCTCCCCCTTGCGTCCGTTCTCTGAGAGGCGCACGCTCAACACACTTGGTTCTGCTAACCGTTCCCAGTGTTCCCCTCATGTAAGCATCGAGTCAGGTTGGCTGATGGAGCTTCCGTATCTGCTTGCCTGCACTTCTCCCAGTTACTGAGAAAAGGATGTTGAAGAGTCTAATAATTAGGGATTTGTCAGTTGCTCTGTGTACGCCAGACGGTCCTCGGTACGTACACATTTAGGATTGTCGAACACTGTTGAACTGATCTTCTTATCACTATAAAATCACCTTTCATCCCCCATGATGTTCCTCGCTCTGAAACCTACCTTATCTTATAGAGCTACCCCGACTTTCTTTGATTAGTGTGAGTGCAGTATAGCTTCTTCCATTCTTACACTTTTCACTCACGGTCTAGCCCTTCAGGCTGCTATAACAAAAAATGTATTGCTTATATTGAGTTCTGGAGGCCAGGAAGTTCGAGACCAAGGTGCTAGTTGAGAGCTTTCTGCTTAGTGGACTTCGCCTCGTTGCTGTTCTCACCGGTAGAAGGGGTGAGCAGCCTCTCTCAGGTCTCTCTGATAAAGGCACGTCCTCATGACCCATCTCTTAGAACCCTCATTTTGGGGCCAGGTTGCCAATCAGATCCCTGCACCTGGCTGTAGCTATGAAGTGCCCTTGTTTATGGTTCCTGCTTTTCATCTGGTCTGTTAGGCTCTGCCTTTTAACTGGGGCGTTTATACCATTTACATTTAATGTAATTATTGGTACAATTGTGTTTGTATTATCTTGGTATTTACATCATCCATTCTCTTTTTCCTGCCTTAGTTTGGACTGTTTTCATGCTTTGATTTACTCTCCTTTATTGGCTTACTGGTTATGTCGCTCCCCTGCTATAGGCCAGGGTTGGGAAACTTTCAGTGCAGGGGCAGATAGTAAGTGAGGCAGAACCGCTCGTGTAGCTTGCCCGTCCATGGGAACAGCTGTGCCTCGGGCTGACTGGCCCTCAGGCCGGAGAGGCTGGGACCCCTATTATTTCCAGGCCCCTGTACTTAATGTGGCTTTCCTCTGGGTGTTTTTAAGATCTCTCTTATCATCAAAGGTTGTCACCAGCTTTTTAAATAAATTTTTTTTTTTACTTGAAAATCAGAGTTAGAGGAAGAAAGAGGTCTTCCATCCCTGGTTCACTCCCCAGTTGGCCACAAAATGGCCAGAGCCAGGAGCTTCCCCCGGGTCTCCCACGTGGTGTAGGGGCCCAAGGACTTGGGCCACCTTCCACTGCTCTCCCAGGCCACAGCAGAGAGTTGGAGCAGCTGAAGTGGAACAGCAGAAGTGGAGCAGCCAGCACTCGAACCCGCACCCGCACGGGACACCGGCACTGCAGGCAGCGGCTTTACCCCCTGTGCCACAGCGCCGGCCCCCCAGCCTGATTCTGATGTGTTTTGTGTGGCTTCTTGGCGTTGCAGGCGTGGAGTCCTGCCTCTCCTGTTTCTTTCTGCAGCTCCCGTCACACAGGTTAAGCTGCTCTGTGTTCTCCCACATCTCGCTGATGCTCTCTTCCTTGTTTTCTCTTTTAGATCAGTTCTATTGCTATGTCTCCAGGTTTGCTACCCATTTTATCAACATCTGATCTATTTATTGTACCCAGTATTTCCACTGCTATTCTGGTTTAAATCCTTTTTTCTTCTCATCATGGTCATCTTTTGTCTTCTTGAACACGTAGAACGTGTTTATAAGAATTGTCTCAATGACCTTGTCTGTGGACGTGGGTTTCGTTTTCCTTCTCCTGTGCGTACTTGGTGATCTCGGGTTGGATGTGGACGGTGCATATTTTACAATGAGGTGCTGTTTTCTGAGTACTTTCGGGCTTCTTTCTGGGACACGGTGAGGCCACCAGACCCAGTTCCCGCTTCTGCTGGATGGAGGGGGGACACATCCTCTAGGGAGCCTCCTGCTGCCCGTGTTTCTAGACTCTTCCCTGCTGGGTAGTTGTGATGGACAGGCAGACGCAGCCCTCAGAGGCACAGGAGAGGCCCACGGTCACTTTGCTGAGGCTGCCGGGAACAAGCAGCTGGGGACAGACCCCGAGCTGCCCGCCGTCGGGGTCAGCGCAGCCACAGCTGTGCAGGATGCGGGTGCTGCCTGCGGAACCCCTGGAGGGCAAGAACTAGACTGCTCTCGGTACCGAGTGCTCATCCCTGCATGCACAACCTCCGTGGGCAGGGAGGGGCCTCTGCCAGCCTGACCTTGGCCGTGTGCGGTTGCAGGTTGATGTCGGTGGAGGAGGAGCTGAAGAAGGACCACGCGGAGATGCAGGCTGCAGTCGACTCCAAGCAGAAGATCATCGATGCCCAGGTATCGGAGGCCCTGCACGCCCCAATTCCTCGGGGCAGAGGCTGAGGAGGGCGAGAACAGCACCACCCTGTGGCCTCTGTGGACCACGAGCTCGCTAGGAGAGTCTGGGAAAGGGGTGGGTATTGGCTTCGGCCAAGGGTACCGACCAGAGTGGTGCTCCTATTCAGAGCCGTGGCTTCCAGACTGGGGGCTGTACCAGGCCGGTACCAGGGCCGCAGTGTGGGGCTTCCTGGCCAGCCTGGAGCCTTCCCCGGGCCTGTGACCCTTCTTGACCCCGCACCCCACCCCCCGCAGGAGAAGCGCATCGCCTCCCTGGACGCCGCCAATGCCCGCCTCATGAGCGCCCTGACGCAGCTGAAAGAGAGGTACAGCATGCAGGCCCGTAACGGCATCTCCCCCACCAACCCCACCAAATTGCAGATCACTGAGAACGGCGAGTTCCGAAACAGCAGCAATTGTTAACCTGCCCCCTGGAGGGGGGCACCGTGCGGCCCAGGGCAGGGTCTCGGCCCGGGGCCGCAGAGACGGACACGGCGGGAGGCCCGAGGAGCGTGTTGGGTGCGGGCAGAAGAGAGACTGCACGCGGGGGCTTGGGCAGCCTGGTGGGGGCAGGGGCCTGCCACAAACCTGCGTGTTGGTTCCTGAACGTGGCGTGTATCACCTTTTCCTCCTGGCCTGGCCCAGTGCACGTACCCCCACGCCCTCGTCGGGGAGGGCACGACCCAAGGGCTGGAGCACAGGACTCCATGGCAGCCAGGCCCTGCCCTGTGGGACCTGGGACCTGCGGGGCGGCTGGCAGGCAGGCCCCAGAGGCAGGACTTCCTGGCAGCACCGGCCCCTGCATGCAGCCTGTCGGGGGCCCTGGCCGGCTCCGAGGCACCGAGGGGTGTGGCGTCCCCCTCCCCCCTCTTGCACTGCCACACAGAGCCAGTGGCTTTTTCTTCCTGGCTCTGGTACCTGTGGGAAGGGTCCAGGCACCCCCTCCCCTGCCACTTGGGCCCGGGCTGATGCCCTGGGGCTCCCAGATGCCAAAGATCTGGGTGGAGCTGGCCGAGGGCGCTGTGCTCTGTACCTGCCTTCTCCTGGGCCCGTGGCCAGCTGGGAGTGGCCCTGAGCAGGAAAGCCCGGCCTTCCCTCGGATTTGCTGGGCCCTGGGAAGGTGGATAACTGTGACTTTCTTTCCTTTCACAGTATGCATTAAACAAAAGCCCGCTTGCTCGCTTGCTGGAACACTGGGGCCTTTTAAATTGAGCGTGCGCACTGCATGGGAAATAGCGGCCCTGGCGGATGTTAGACTTGCTCCCTCTCCGAGACAGCAGCGGCCTGCACCGGCCCCGCGTGCGGCCGCCGCCTCCTCACCCTCCCGGCCCCCGCCACGGACCCCGGCGCTGCAGCCAGGGGAGGGGCACCCCAGCGCTGGGGCCGGTTTTCCTCAGCTCTGGGCTGTTCTGTAGCTTATCTGCCCTTCCCCTAGCGGGACCTAGATGGGCAGGAGGGTGGGTCTCTCTCGGCCCCTGTCCCCGGTCTCCTAGGGCAGGAGCGAGGGTCTCTGCCCAGGCCGCAGAGCCAGGGCCGGGCGAGCTGGGAGGTGCCACCTGTGCCCCTGCGGCTGCAACGCGCCAGAATCCCCACCAGGAAGGGGTGCCAGCGCCGCACCTCCTCCCGGGCCTTGCCCTGGGGAAGAGTTGTAGACTAGATGCTGGTGGAGAGGGCTGCGCCACCAGGGGTCGCGGGCCGCAGGAAGGAGAAGTGGGGAGGGGAGTGCGCTGAGGCTCTGCTCCCGCCCCTGCACGGTTCAGACCAGGGTGGCCACGCAGGCAGGGCCTGGCTTCAGGGGTGTCCTCCTCGGCCCAGGGAGCCCTGCCTCCTCCCCCCCCTCCCCTGCCGCTGCCTCGGGCTCCGACTGAGCACCTCTTAGCAATACGGGCAGGAGCGCACGGGGGCGGGCTGTGAGCTCTCAGGCCGAGAGCCTTACTCACCTGTGCAAAAACTGTAAAAGTGTACAGACTTCACAGATTTTTATCTTAACTGCAAGTCTGACGATTTTTGTAAATGTTCTTGGTGTTTGACTGTAATGTAACTACTTCACCCAAGAGTTGTACATAGTCCCTGGTGCTGCCGGGACTGCTGCTCTCCCGCTGGTCTCTGTGTGATTTTTGTAATCCAGACGACAGCGTTGGGCAGGAGGAGGAGGTCCGGGGGCTAAGTGCCCCCTACCCGTGGCTGGGAGGGGGTACCCCGACCGGGCCTGTACACGGGGGGCTCCTGCCCAAGGCTAGAGAGAACCCACGGCCCCACGGATGAGAGCCTGCCTGCGGCAGGTGCCGCGATGGCCAGCGGTCCCGGCTCAGGCCCCTGGTCACCAGCACCCAGACTCGAGTCTGGAGCAGGCTGTGCCCTCCCCGCTCACAGACGCCCGATGTGTTCTGCTCACGTCCAGGGCGAGGGGAACTGCCACACTTCAAAGTGACGACTCCTTCAGACTGCCCGCAAGGGGGCGAGGGCGCCCCTGCTGCCTGGGCCCTGGGGGGGCCGGACCGTCCAGGGCAGCAGCCCCTCTTTTCTACTCACTCGGGCCAGCTAGCCGCCCCCAGCCCCTACCCCTTTTGTAAGTATGTGAAAAGAAACCAATGCAAACGCCGGAGTCGCAGCGGGAGCCCTGGCTGCGACTCGACCGTGTAATAATGTACAGAGAAAGGTGTTGTGTTCTAAGACTCGGTGGCTGTGCAATTTCTGTACATTTGCAATTAGAAATATTAAAGATTTATTTAGCTATTTTAAGCCCGGCTTGCCTCTCCATTCACTGGTGTCTTGGGGGATTTTCCAGAGGGGACCCCCAATCCCTGGGGGGCTGATGGACTCCACCGGGGGACCCAGCCTCGGTGAGCTCAGGGTGATCTCCCCAAGGCCTCCCCTGGCTCGGATGTGCTTAGAAGTGAGGTTTTCAGACGCCAGCTCCTGCCAGGCTGTGCAGGAAGCGGCCCCCTCTCACTGAAGCCGCCTCCCGGGGGTCGCCGCCAGCCAGCCAGCCCCCGCTGAGCCGCACCGACCTTTCTCATGCTTTAACCCCCCCCCCCCCCCCCCCCCCCGGAAAGCTCCTGGTGAGCCCTGCAGAGCCAGACCCTTGCGCTGTGCCTGCACCCTGGGCCGGGTGGCCCTGGCTCCCGCCCGGTCCCGCCCAACCTCACTGCGCCTCAGTTCCTGGCGCTCAGTGCAGTCACTCCTTATGCAAACACACGGACAGACTGACTCCTGCAGACACCAGCTGGGGATCCCCCAGCAGCAGGGGTGTGGGTGTGTCCGGTCAAGAGATCACGTGCCTCTGGCTCTAGCTGGGGATTTGGGCTTCCCAAGAGTAGACCTAGTGTGCGTCTGTTCCCTACAGCCAGCAGGAGGGGGCACAGCGGAGCCATGGGCCAGAGCAGGGCTGCCCCTGGCCACCGTCGCTGGCCTGCAGCCTGCCTGACGTACCCTCCCACCCGGCGCCCTGGCCTTTCCGGTGAGGGTGTCCCCCACCTGTGTCCGGTCAGTGCTGTGGGGGCCACAGCTGGCTGCCGTCCCCTCCACTGCCAGCAGAGCGTCGTTTGCTCCGCGCTGTCCTGGCGCAGCTGCTGGACCCTCCCCGCAAGCCTGGAACACACGGTCTCCCGAGCCCCGCCCCCCACGTAGTCTGAGACGCCCCTCAGCTCTGAGTCCACCCAGCTGCCTGCGTTCTCAGGAGCGAGGGTGCCGCTGGGGGAGCTACAGACTCCCGGGCACTGCGGACCTTGTGGGGGTTCCCTGTCCATTTGCATTCTCCGTGCCCCAGCCTTAGCCCCTCCACAGCCACAGGGGGACACGGCCTGGTCCTTCCCAAGCAGACCCTGGCTGGTCCCTGTGCTGCCTTCATCACTCCTACACCCCAGCCTCCTCCCCTTCCTCACAGCATTGTTATTAGAGAGAGAGCGAGTGAGCCCACACGCGCTAGCTCTCCAGTGCCTGCAATACCAAGTGCTGGGCTGGGATTGAAGCTGGAGCTGGGGACTCCATCCCACGTGGGTGGCAGGGACCCAATCACTCAAGCCTGCAGCGCTGCCTCCCAGGGTCTGGAGTCGGGAGCTGGAACTGAGCCCAGGCACTCTGCTGCGGGACACAGCAAATGGCCTGGCCCTCCCAAGGCACTGCCAGGTCCCCACGGCTCCAGGCCTCTTCCCCGGCCGCCCACAGCTCCGCTGCTACATTGTCAGGACCATGGACCTCCCAGTGCGTCTCCCCCGTGCGCAGGGTCCGCCGCCCCTCTGCGGAGACCGCATCACGTCCAGGTAGCAGCGATGACTGGGACAGACAGACATTTCTCATGAGGATACAAAAGCTGCAAGCGTCCGCTTTTGGATAAAACAGCATTCAGTAGAAAGCAAAAATACTAGAAATGCAAGGGAAAGAATTGACAGAAGCAGCTGCATTTGAGATTCCCCTCCCCTCCCCGAAAGAGTTTATTACAAGGTCAAGGAGCAGGAATTAAGAGCTTAGAGGATCTGAATTACCAGGTTGGCTAAGCTGGCTACATCAAGCTCCTAGCTAGGGCACATCCTTTGTCTATCACAACTTGGCTGTGTGCCGACAGGTGGCTCCAGCTGCCCAAAACTCCGGTGCAGGCCACGTGCTGGGCCTTGAAGCCGTAAAAGGAGAGATGAGTCATTTGTGTGTAGTTTTAAAAAAAACAACTCTCAGGAAGTTTAAAAAATTCTGAGCCAGTGGAACCAGATGTTTGAAAGAAGGCCGTCTTCCAAGGGCGCGAGGTCCCGTGGCCGCGGCGCTGCTTGCTGTGTGCTGGTTTCTCCACATCGCCTGGGATTAGCGAGGGGGCCATAAGGGCACAATTACGGTGGGAGGAGAGATGAGGACATCAGAGACTTCTGGAAACTGACGGAAGAACCTGATGAAGGGGTGCGGGCACAGAGCCAGGGAGAGACCAACCAGAAATGAACCAATGGCCTGAGGACCACCCCCCCACCCCACCCCACCCCACCCCCTCCCCGGTTCCATGAGGCAACCCCAGGGCACCTGGCTGGCAACAACAGGGCCCTGACCGCACACCCTCCACCTGACCCCTCATCTTGCAGGGGCTGGCCATTGATTGCCTGGGGAGGGTGAACTTGGGGACCCCAGACAAAAGCAGAGGGCTCTGAGAGGCCGCGTGTGCTTCTGCCCTTGACCATGGCCTCTGCCCACAGAGTGCCCCGAGCCAGGTGCCCATCCCCCCACATGGCCAACTGATTTCCAAATGCTTCCCCAAAGAAAGAACTGACTCTGCATCAGCATCTCAAAGTAGTCCCCCCCCCATGTGCCCCGCCCCCGACTCACACACCAGGACAGCTTGTGACATGGGAGGGAGAGGCCGAATCAGCAACCGGAGAAAGGATGCAGAGACAACATTGGAGAGAGAAGAGCAAAGAAAAAAGCAGAAACACCAGCATATCCCCGGAGAAAAACAGAAAAACAGGAGCGGGACGCTGTGGAAGGGAGCCTCCAGGGCCAGCTCCTGGCGGCTGAAAAAAGCCCCCAGGAGCCAGGATGGAATCCTCCGCTGAGGTGGTCGTCCGAGGAGATCTAGATACACAGGCAGAAAGACAAGCCAGCAGGAGGACGAGGAGGCGACTGGAGGCCCAGCCCGGGCTGTCCGCCCCCAAGGAGCCCCCCCCCCCCCCCCCGGCTCTGCCAGAGCCCAGGAAGCAGCCAGTCTGCCGCAGGGCGTGGGGCTGTGAAAACCCCGACCCGGTGGGGGCTGCGCCATCCATGGGCGGCCAGGGGTAAGTCTAAAGATACAGTCCTGGCCGGTGCCCACCCCCGCCGCGGCTCACTAAGCTAATCCTCTGCCTGCGGCGCCGGCACCCCGGGGTTCTAGTCCCGGTCGGGGCGCCGGATTCTGTTCTGGTTGCTCCTCTTCCAGTCCAGCTCTCTGCTGTGGCCCGGGAGTGCAGTGGAGGATGGCCCAAGTGCTTGGGCCCTGCACCCCATGGGAGACCAGGAGAAGCACCTGGCTCCTGGCTTTGGATCAGCATAGCGGCCATTTGGTGGGGTGAACCAACGGAAGGAAGACCTTTCTCTCTGTCTCTCTCTCTCATTGTCTAACTCTGCCTGTCAAAATAAATTTTAAAAAAATTAAAGATACAGTCCCCTGGGGTGCCAGGGTAGAACAACAGCTCCAGGCTGTCTCCCTCCTACCCTATGCTGGGAGTTTTTAATTTGTGCTCCCTGACAAGACATCACAAAGCCTGAAGCCTTGGTGACCTGGCAGGAATGAGTGACGGAAGCAGACCGACCTCAGGTGACATCCAGACCCGGCATTGCGAGGCAACAGGGGCAGGTAGGGACTGGGGCTAATTGAAGAGCATGTCCCTTTCTAGGGGCAGCAGGGAGCTGTTGCCATGGAGTCACACACCCTCCCTTCTCCACGGACTCACATCTACACCCAGCTCCATGCTCACAGGGCCAAGTGCCCACTCGACATCACTGGGTCATTCCCCAGGGCTTGGTTGCCACAGCCAGGTCTGGGCCAGGCTGGAGCCAGGAGCCAGGAACTCCATCCTGGTCTCCCACATGGGTAGCAGGGGCCCAGGCACTCGGACCATCTTGACTGCTGCCTCCCCAGGCTCATTAGCATGGAGCTGGATTGGAAGCAGAGCAGCCAGGACAGACCGGCTCTGATACTCGGGTGCCAGTGTCACAAGCAGCTTAACCCACGGCACCACAGTGCCATCCCTGCCCCATTGCTTTAAAGAATAAGTAGATTCCACTGCATGTAAGAAGTCACGTGAAGAACTATGGAAGCGAACACATCACACTGTTAATGGTCATTTCCTTTGGGGAGCCAGCGGGATGGGGGACGAGGACCTGCGCTTCCTACTTTATGCGCTTCTGTATTGTTTGAATATTTTACAACCAGTTTTTATTTCTGGGCTTGATAGGGAGCCATTTAAAAATAAATAAAACACATCCACGTAACGAAACGCTATGTGGCAGTTAAATTTGTAGCCCAATAACAAATGGCAGTGAAAGATGTTAATAATATATTAAGTATAAAAGCTGATGACACAATTCTATGGCCAGGAGGATTCTAGTTTAGCTTTCAAACCATGGCTGCAGGAGCAGCTCTGGGACAGGACACAGTGGGGTGCAGGTAAGACCTTGAGTCTGGGCACAAGGGAGACCTTGGCTTGGACTCGGAGTGGCAGCTGTTTATCATGAGGTTTTTAGCACAAACCTCTAGGTCTCAGCTTCCTTTACTGTAAAATGGGGCAGAGGGGCGGGTGCTGTGGCACAGCTGGTCAGGCCGCCGCTGGAACGCCCCGCATCCCACATCAGAGCGCTGCTTCAAGTTCCCGCCACTCCGCGTCTGATCAGCTTTCCTGCTAATGCACCCTGGGCGGCAGCAGACGATGGCTCAGGTCCTTGGGCCCCTGCACCCGTGTGGGAGACCCGGATGGAGCTCCTGGCTTCAGCCTGGCCCAGCCCTGGTTGTTGCAGGCATCTGGGGAGGAGCCAGTGGATAGATGTGTGTGTGTGTGTGTGTGTGTGACCCTGCCTTTCAAGTTGCTGAAAGTAACCATTTTCTTAACAGGGATGAGACAGTGTCTAACTCTACTGAAGTCTTCTGTGAGGACTATTGAAACAATTCCTGCCGGCGCCGCGGCTCACTAGGCTAATCCTCCGCCTAGCGGCGCCGGCACACCGGGTTCTAGTCCCGGTTGGGGTGCTGGATTCTGTCCCGGTTGCCCCTCTTCCAGGCCAGCTCTCTGCTG